GACTTAGCGTCTGAATTGAATGGGAGACCCCATTCTGCCCTTTCAGGCGGCAGTGGGGCTCTGCCAGCTGGCCTGCGCTATAATTCAAAGACAGTACCTTAACCTGGGCTTGGGGTTGTATTAATCAAAGGTTGGGGTGGGCTTCTCCTAAAGCCCCCATTTTGTTCGTTTTCTGTGTTTCTCATTCAGGATCCCCTGACAACAGTGAGAGAGCAATGTGAGCAGCTGGAGAAATGTGTAAAGGCTCGGGAGCGGCTGGAGCTCTGTGATGCCCGAGTATCCTCTCGGTCGCACACAGAGGAGGATTGCACAGAGGAGCTATTTGACTTCTTGCATGCAAGGGACCACTGCGTAAGTCCACCTAAAGCCAACAGGGGTGGGAGGCTTTGGGTGGCTAGGGAGGACTTGCTACTGACAACCTTCCCACCTTGGGAGCATGTCTGTCAACAGGCACTTACTGTGGAAGCTGTAGCTAATTCAGCCTTACACTGTTCTGTAAAATCATTTCTAGCTTTCAGGTTGTCTTACATATATTATAATTCGTCCCATAGCTTTGTTTTTAATGTAAACGTGTTGACGCTTACACTTAATAAGGTAAACGGTGTTCAAAATTATTTTGCCAACAGAAATATTAATCAAAACAATGAAATACCACGTCACACCATTTTTTATTTACTGTTGAGTGTATTCTAACACATGGTAGCACCACGTGGGTCTGAGTAGAACTGTGCTTGTGAAGGTTTTTAATAGCTGATTTTACTTTTTTAGGAGTAGATTTCCAGGTCTTGCTTCTGAGGCACCTCAGAACTTGCAACTTTTGGGTTAGCTGTTGATATCAGGGACTCACTCACTCACTCTCACTGCCATCTAGTCGTGCTAACGCATAGCAACCCTATAGGGCAGAGTAGGACTGCCCCTGTGAGTTCTCAAGACTTTATAGATTAGAAAGCCCTGTCTTTCTTCCACTCCGGAATAGGATACACAAATGATAATGAAATCTTTTTCAAATTATAATGAAAAAGATGTGGAGAAATTGGAGCAGTATAATACTAGTAGGAATACCACTAAAGAAAGCAGGCT